AAAAAGGGGGGGGGGGGGGGGGGGGGGGGGGGGGGGGGGGGGGGGGGGGGGGGAGGCGCTCCCTGCGGAATATTTTCTTAATATTTAAGGGGCGACATTTTCGGTGACTCCAGAATTTTTTTGTTCAAAGTAAGCGTCAAAATCATAACCCTAGCTAGGTTGAGGCTACTGACACTACTGTGTTGATTGGTCCGGTGATAATTTGATTGTATATTATAAAGGTGTATCAATTGTATAATTTTTTAAAATTATTTAGTCTGCATAGGGGAAGGCATCTTGCTTTTCATTTAAAAATGTATGGGTTAGCGGACTTAAAAACAATTTCTATCTGACATTGAAGTATTGAAGCAAAAGTAAAAGGAAACATAAATTTTGATGTTTTCAGCATCTTCAAAGAAAATAAATATTTTTTGTTAAAATTCAAACATCCAAATTTAAGTTAACATTAATTTTTATTACATGAAAATACCAGATGGACTATCATTATTATTATTTATTTTTATTTTTTGGGGGTTAAAAGTAGATAATCGAATATAATTTATGGATATCTAAAAATTTGTACCAACGATAATTAGAATCATTATTTTGGAGTAATCGCCCATTAAATTGTTGGCCAGTTTTTGTTTCTGTAATGTCAAATCAGATCAAATGTAATATTCAAAACTTTAGTTCCCTTCATCTTTATTAAGTACTCTATGTAAGTACTTGATTTTTAAAAAAAACAAAAAAATTTGGCACATCAGTGACTGGTTTTCTGTGTTTAAGAAACTTCGTAATCCTCAAGTTTTCTAATGCTGTTTTAGCTTTGATGATATCTTTTTGACTATTTGGCACGTTTTCGATTTTTTCACTTGACACTATTCAACCCAACTTAATTTAGTTTTTATTTTAATTCATCCCGTGCAGTTCATAAAATCTCATCACCTTTAGTGGCTTTAAAGTTTTAAAGTAATGGTCACATTGTTTAAGCTATAAACTGAAAGTGTGTAGTTAAATCAAGTGAGTTGTTACCTTTACTGCCTTAAAATTTAAATTTATTTAAGGCTTAAATTCTTACTTTTAAATTGTCTCAAACTGAGTCTGAGTCAAACTTTAACTGATTTAAGACAAGTTAAGAGTTAAGAGACTTATTAATTAAAATCAAAGGACCATAATATGAGTCAGTCAGTCCATCATTATGGACATTATTATACTCAAACTGTTATATTAAATTTTTTAGTGTTAGTGACAAGTCATTTTTTACGGCCTGTCTTAGTTTAAATTTATCTACTGTGGTAAACCCTGAAATCCTGAATCTGATAATTGATTTTAATTAAAGAGAAAAAATTTCAAATGTGTAAATTAGTGTAATCATAGTGTAGCCAGTAATTTGAGTAAGTTCTTGCACATCTGTTTTTGGTACAAATTAAATAAATTAGTAATTAGTCAGTCTTACATTTTGATAATTGATAGGAATAGGCTTTATTAGCATTTTCTAACTAAAGTTAAATGACACTAACTAGCCTAAAGTCAAAGGGCCAATTCAAATTCCAAATTATTCTGCAGGGAAATAAAAAGGCTGTTCATAAAGCAGCAAAATGGCTAATCAGTGATTAGATTTATTATTATTTAACTGCAGATTTATCAGTGCACGTTACTATACTAAATCAGACTCAGACCTGTGTACTCTTATGATTTTGGTGTGCGATGTACAATTTTGAGATGTCTTTTACGATTGTATGCAAAGACCTGACAGAAGTAGAAGAATTTCAAGAGTTGAAAATATATTTTACACTCCTGGTAGTTTTTTTCCCAATTAAAAAAAATTAAAATGTACATTTCAGTTAATTTTAACTTACATTTGCATTGGGCGTCCAATAGTGAATGGATCGAATTTGCCAGGGCTCTAAATATTAAGTTTATGAAAGTGCACTGTCACATTTCCATAATGACCGTGGTGGTCATATATTTGCTTTGTTTTTTTGTAGTGACAGTTTCAGTCAATCCAATGCCATCCATATAGTATGTACGTACTGAGGAGGGAAGAGGTTTATTGAATTTTTGAGATTTTGCTTACTTAGGCACTCCAATACTGTCGCCGTAGAAAAATATGGGCTGCCTAGCGTCAATCACTATGATCAGTTGGTGCTTTTCGTTGTCGGTATTTAGCATTGTTTCGAATCGTTTCTAAAAATAGAGGAACTTCCTTATTTTGATTTGAATTCGCGATGCATGCTGGTTACGAGGCTATAAATAAAGTGGAACTCCGACCATGCTGAGATGATCAGTTGGAAATTTGACTTTGGGTGAGTCTGCTGTGCTTCTTTAAAAAATTGTTTAGACTTGGAATTTACTTGACTGCAAAATTTATATATTGTAAAATCCAAATCACTTAATTAAAAGATTGCTGATCATCAACACATTTTATGAGCAGTGTGAGGAAAATTCAAGACAGCCAAGTTGTAGCCATTTTTTTCAACTCTCTCGGAAGTGGTATATCTCTGTAAACATTGAAAACATTAGTTTTTAAAACCTTTTTGAAACGGCTAAATAAATATTTCCTGTATTATAACTTAGTAGTTAGGCATCATAGTTTAATATAGTTCACAGTCTTTGGATCAGTAATACATATAAATGAGACAAAGTGTGGTGAAGTTTGCCACTAGTCCTAAGTTATTAACAACTATAAATGTGCATAAACTAAAGAAAATTGTGTGGCCTATTTAAAAATATTGAATCATTATTTTATATGTACTCCTAATTAGTACTCCTAATATTTTTTTAATTTACAGATTGTCATCATTCCCTGTGATTGTGCTCTCTAAGTTTGTATTTATATCTCTGCACTTTTAGTTTTATTAAATGGCTATGGCTGATGTTAAAAAAAAGAATAGATTTTGAAATTTTTGTGGCAAGTTTTGCTCAGGATGCTATCACAGAGGGTTACCGGAACAGCATATGTATTACAGCAATGGGAAGCATATGTCAAATATGCTAAAAATGCTTGTTGAATGCCTGCAGCAAACAGACAGTAACTATGTGCCAACTTTAAATGCTTGCCACATCTCTACATGCGAACTGGACCATCAAAGTGGCTGGAGTTCCTGGAGGTAAAACAGAGGGCTATCTGCACCAACTCATTAACTCCCTTCAAGATCTATCCACCTTGTATTCTGTATACAAGGAGGATCAGCATGTTGTAATGCATAGCATCCTTCAGTTTTTCAGTACCAATTTGAGTGACTGGGCAAAGGTCAATCAATGTGTTTTGATGCAGTTTGGTAATTTGTTGAACAAGAGGTCAATTCAACTGAAGTGCAATCTGCTCCCCCTGGAAGGAATTGCTTCTGAAGACGTAAGCAATGCAAACTTCTTCATGCTAAATGGGGCAAAGCCGGACTGTCACATGGTCAAGATGGAAGTGCTGCGAATCTTGTCCAGACTATATCTAAACTGAGGTAACTTTCATTTTGATTTTTTTTACACATTACTTATTTTTAGTACCCAGACTTAGTTAATTAAATAGTTCTGAAGATGTCCATTTTGCTGTAACTGTAAGCACTAAAAGACAGTTGTTTTTTTTCCCTCCACAGGCTTAAGATGTTAACCGGTGATCGCATTCCTGGAGATGGAGAATTTGAAACTTGGAATCATTCCTCGCTACATTTGAAACAGACTCCACATTTTGTTTCACCTAGCAGGAGTCATTTTTCAGATGAAAGAATCACTGGTGCAGTACCTAAAGAAATTTGTAGATCTGCCAAATTAAGAATGGCCCGCTGAATGACAACTGGTGCAATGATATTCTTATTCAACTACGAGTCTTAGGTAATCTAGTTCTCTATTTCTTTTTACTTACCAGGTAAATAAATAAGATAAACAACTTTTCAAATAGTATTTTGATGTTGCCTATGCTACTTTTCTACTAATACTTTGCATTGCTCATGATAGGTCTCTTTGGCAAACTTGTGACTGAAGCCTGGATGTCTCATATGTTACAAGAACTCTAAGGTTTAAAGCATTTGGAGATGGTGGGTATTTATATTATGTCTCTTTGAGGTGATTTTTGTCAAAAAGCCGAATGATTATGGCAGTGTCTTTAGCTTCAGTCTTTTCCTTGGTTTTTTCAATAGATTCCACACATGACAACCCAATTTGATATTGACAATGGAGAAAGATGTTTTTAATCTACCAATCGATGAGAATGACATGTTGCTAGAGCTCCAGAACCACGAACTGGGTCCTCCATGTTTTGAGACAGTTGCTGATGTCTTTAGGATTTGTTACAGTCTTAAACAGAGACAGCTTGAGGTGCATCTTGTTGGGGAACTGGCTAATCCATCAGCTGAATTAATGGCTTTGACCTCATCTTCTACTGGTTTTGTTAAATCTAAAGTTAATAAAACCATGGATTGGTTATTGGGTAAACTTATTTTGGAGCAAGGGGGACTCATTAAGTTTCCTGTTGGTGAAGCCAGTAAATCTAGGATGGTGTTAAAGGGTTGGGATACACAAATGAAGGCCGTTAAAATAACTTGTTAGATAGCAGTGGGACAGAAGAGGGAACAGGGATAGAGGAATAAGTTGGAGAAGAAAGTTAAACCTTTATCAGAATGTGATAGAGGGTTTAATGTTAAAGTTAAGCTGTCCATGGTACTCTCTGGTAGAATGGACTGCCTTCTAATGAAGATTAGGCACGCTTGGGTTGTTAATGAGGAAGAGGAAGAGTTTATTGAAGATTTAGATAGGCATGTTAAGAAATCTGGTAAGTTAGTATTTTCTGACATAGATCATGTAGAAATAACATTATCTCATTTGGTCTCTGATGTTTTTATGGGAGCCTTTCATTTTGTTTACTTGCGTTAATTGAAAGTTATTTGAATTTTCAGTTCACACGCTTTAAACTTGAATTTAAAAAAAAATTAGTTTTGCTGTCAGCTGAACAAAGATACCATCTGTTGCTGTGGATAGCTATATTGTATTGGATGTTTTTAGTTTCTGTATTTTAATGTACCGGTACAATAATGTCAACAGAGATGGAGTTTCATTTATAACTTTATTAATTTTAGATTGTCACGGTCTATTTGTATTTAAGATTACAATGAATTAGCATTATTAGTTTAAAAGTTATGATAAAAAAGGTACATCAGTGTCGATAGAGTGCATGATTTTAATTGCCTTTGTAATATTTAATTTTCTATTACATTTGGATTATCACTATCTATTATTAAAAATTTCATTGCATTAGCTTATTAGCTTAAAAGTTATGTATTTAAATGTAAAAATGTCTCGACTGTGGTCGCTTTCCATCAAATTATTTTTCTAATATTGCGTACATTTTTCTGATGTGCATTTTATTTATTTTAAATCTGCCTTACTTTTTAGATGGACATTTGTTTGTAATGAAAATTTTATAGCAATAACTTTAAATTGCTTTGTCATTTTTTGTAAAATTAAATTTTTCAACGATCATTATACACCCCATATGCTTATAAAATAATTTTTTTATCAAATACAAGTTAATTCACAAAATTCTTGTGTTTTATTCTGTTAACCATTGTATTGTAAATGTCTCCTCCAAAGTTGAGTGCTCTAATTGTAATAGACAAAAAAATACAAACAAAAAAGTACAAGAGTAATAATTCGATCAGTTTTAAAAATTAAATAACGGGTACAAAGCTAAATAGTGGGGAATAATAAAGAATTAAAAAAATTCATAACTTTTCTCCTAATAAAGATAATCTTGGTGTCGGCACTTTCCAATGTTATGCTCTTTGTGTATGTCAGATGTATTTGAAAATTTAATTCGGAGTGTCTACTCTGTACACATGGGTATGGCCCAGGGGGGTGTCTGCAGAAAGTGCATGTGTTATTAATTAAAAAATTTTCAATATTTATCCTGAATGTCCTAAAATAGCATACTTATATCTCGATTGCTGTAAAAATATCACTCTGTTGTGTAAGAAATTATGCTAAAAATTGTGCCATGTATTTTCAAAAATGATCTCGTTCGATACACTCAGTAGAAGAGGTATTGCAGTAATATGTAGTCCATTTTATGTTCAATATGATTTTATATTTTTTTAGGCTGGGCTTCTAAAAATTTCATTTCATTGAGCCTATGCCAAATTCAGGCTTTCACCAGGCTCCCTGTGTTAAATCCTAAGTACACTTCGAAATATGGAATAAACTAAATAAATAAAATATTGAGTAAAATAAATATGACACATATGTAAATCACTAAGTGCCATCTAGTAACTGCAGACAATAGTTATTCAAGTGGGTTACTGTTTGCACCATGACATATAGATGTAAAAATTAAATTATTAAAATTTTGTTATATTTTCCGTGAGGAAGCCGCGTCAACGCGTATGGGAAAAAGTAAAAGGACTATTATTAGCGCCCCTTGTCTCTGAAGTAAATGAGATTTCATATTTTAATTCACTATTAAGGTTCTTTCTAAAGATTATTTTGGTGGCCCCTGATTTTGGTGCCTGTTGCTATTTGCAGCATTCTCTTGGCCCCGCGGTGAAAACCCATGACGCATTTAACTGTAGTTTTTTTATTTTATGGTTTTTTTTTTTTTTTTTTTTTTAAAAGGGGGCTGGAATAAAAGCTTGTACATACGTGGGGGTTCTGAAAAGGGCAGGGTATATGAGCCGTGTGGTGGGGGGAGGGGTGTGTAGAAAATTAGTCTTTTCACGTACGTACTATATAGATGGCACCTCCTTGCATTTGTTTGCTTCAGTTGTATGATGTAATTTTGTTTCTTACAGCTGAACTGCTTGTAGTGCAGAAATGGAGAAAACTAGAAAATGCATTCTCAACTGTCCCGCGCAGCATTAGATATATTTTAAAGGATCTGAGAGGGCCTTTTGAAATTTATTTTTAGAATGCACAAAATAGCTGTACGAATTTTAATACCCCTGCTTCCCTTCACCCATTTACAGCTTATTGTAGTTATCAGGATGTAATATGAAAGCGGGATCAGGGCATAATGAATACTGGTGTTCTTATTTTTTTCTAGAAATAAATCTCAAGTTACTTGGTAGTTTTTTTTTAAAATGATGGCCTAATTTGTAAATTTATTCTTATTTTAATAAATTTGTATTTTATTTTTATGCTGATCAAAATTTTAGTTTGAACCACATTGAATTTCACCCAGTGCATGTTCATCTAAATGTTGATATCTATCGCAGATACACGTCTGCACAACAAAGGGACAGCATTTAGCAATATAAACATAGTTCATGTACTTTTAGGAGATACTTTTTTGATGTCAGCTTAACCTGATCCCACTCCACAGGGGATGCAAGTAGTTAAACATTATAATTCCTGTATGTTTATTTACTATTCAGATTCTGCATTGTACGATTTTGAGGCGATATTAGGAGTTTGAGGGTAAACAGGTCTGGTAAATAGCATTAGTCATAATAAAATAATAATTTTATTAAGCAAACACACCATTTGTAACTGTAACATTGTTACTAACATGTGCTAGTTGGTAGAGATCTAATAAAAGTTGGTACTCTATTATAGGAAAAAAAATCATGTTATTACCGGTATTATTATTATTATAAACTATCTTTCTTCACTTAGATAGTGGCCTTTTTAAAAAAAGTTGTAAATTTTAAAGGCAGTTTGAGGTCTAAGATGATAACCTAATAGTAAATAGCATCTTTTAGGACTATGTAACTTGGTGTTTTAAAACTATCGATAAAGATTCACGTTATTTAGTTGCATCTTTCTCGATTTCTGTACCAAAACAAAACTGTAACATTAGGTAGTATAGTAGGCTAAAAAAACAGTTAAATCCATTCTCCTTACTTTGTGTTTTATAAAGGGAGTTCTTTTTGCCCGTCTTAAGTCAAGAGTAAACCTGCATAACCGCAGGTAGACCTAAAGTATTATAATTTCTTCAAATTCTTCCTTAATTTAGACATTAAAATCATATGCATAAATGACAAATATTTATTGCACTCTGCATTCTTGTCTATGTGAACGGAGGCTTGTCTATGTGAATGGACGCTTGTCTATGTGAATGCAGGCTTGTCTATGTGAATGGAGGCTTGTTATATAATCCTCTTGCTGTCCTCTTAGGATACATTTCAGTTTAGAGTTTTTTTTAAATTTGTGTTATTCATTGTTTGTTTGCTGAAGTCTTCTTGCCGACACTTACATTATATATGGCATCCTTCCATCTTCGTGAGACGATGGAGTAGCTATGTAGTCTTACACCTCAAGGAGTGGCTCACTAGGCTAATCCTAGATTGACAATCTCGACTGCATTTCTCACTTATTTTAATTATACTATTTTTTTCCACATAACTTTAGTTTTTAATACATATTAAATGCTTCACCCGTTTAAAACAAAGCCTGAGATGAGAGAAAATGAAAATTCTTAATTAATTTAATTTTATGTTCTCTCAGTGTAATTTGTATACTTTTTTACTTTCAGGTTTAAATGGATAATTCTAAAGACAATCCACATAAAAATGGTCGAGATAAAAAGACAGGGAGAGTCGGTCGTGGAGCCAAATGTTTCTATAATACACGCAGAGTTAGACCAATCAACAATCCTGTTTGCGATAGACCTAGAGAGTTTCCATCCAGCATTGGTGCATCTGAGATAGCCAGAGGAGGGAATCCTAGAGATCAACCAAATTCTGTCTTCAGAATGTCTTTACTGGAAACCCCGAGACCAACTGCAGATGCTGAGAACAAGAACGTAGAAACAAAGAAAGATAAAGAATTGATAGAAGCAGCATCATATGGGCTCATAAATAACTTTGTCAATCTTTTGACTCAGCTTAAAGATTCTGTGACACAATTTGGTTACGATATAGCAGCGGTAGAGGCGACAAGACGAGGAAGCAAGTTAATCTTACAGCACCTGTTGAGAGCAGGAGCCAGGACGTCTGGCACGGATGATGATGGCAACACAGCTCTCATGCTCGCAGCCGAGAAAGGCTTCTTAGAAATGGCTAGAATCTTGCTGAAGAAAGGTGCTAATGTCAATGCTGTTAACAATGCCGGCCAAACGGCTCTCCTGTTGTCCATACGACCATGTGGGGCTTCAGATATGATTTCTTTGCTTGTTGCCAACAAAGCTGATGTCAACGCCCAGTGCAAAAATGGACACACAGCATTGATTGAAGCACTAGAAAGAAAAGATCTTGATGCTGTGAAAGTTCTTATTGATGCAGGTGCAGATATGGGCAAGCTGAGGACCTCCAAATCTGAGACTGCTATGGACGTGGCAAAACGGCTAGGAATCGCCAAAGTGGTCTTGCTCTTAAAAGAGGAAAGGGGTGCGGGTAAGTATAAGAAAAACAACAAACTTACCGCGCTCATGAAAGCGGCTCTTACCTGCAATGTGGATGCCGTTGGGTTGCTGCTGGACTGCAGTTTCACTGATGTGAACCGGACGGTGAGTGAGGGGAGCACGTTGATGCAAGTGGTCAGGGCCCTTTCAAAGACAAACGTCAATGATGTTAAAAAGAAGATTGCAACTGCGAGCAGGATTGAGATAATAAAACTGCTGTTGCAGTATGGGGCACACATTGATGAGTATCACACCAAGGATGGCAGTCCTCTAATCCTTGCAACTAGAGCCGGCCAGAAAGAGATTGTCCAGCTGATGTGTCAAGGCCAGACCAAGCTGAACGCCATTGCTGCTAGTCGAACGGCCCTTATGATCGCGGCGGAGACGGGTCGTGTTGATCTGCTAACCACGCTGATAAATGCTGGTGCAGATTTAGGGGTCAAGAACAGCAGCCACCAAGATGCCCTGTTGATCGCTTTAAAATGCGGCCACGTGGAGTGCGCAAAGGTTCTGTTGCAACACAATGCCGTCATTGATGTCAAGGAGGCTGCGAAATTGGCGGTGGGGAGTAAGCAGATGACATCATTGCAGTACCTGGCAGATAACTACAACATTGATGTGAACAGAAGTAATTTACTCCATCAGGCCATCATTCAGGACTGTGAGCCTATGGTTAAACTGCTTATTGACATGGGAGCGGATGTCAACAAGTTGGATGAACACGAGACCCCACCACTTTTGCTGGCCTGCAGCAAAGGTGTATCCTACATGGAGTTGCTGATCAAGAAAGGGGCAGATGTGAACTTGGGACACCGACTGACCGGGCCACCTCTGATAAGGGCCATGTCCTGCCCCACCCCCATTGCGGCAGCCGAGCTGCTAATTGAACACGGGGCCGACGTAAACAAAACAAATAGGGATGGAGAGTGTGCTTTGATGCATGCATGCTCTGGAAATGACAACCAGGAAATGGTCAATATTTTAATTAAGGCTGGCGCAAATGTCAATTTGGTGTGCAACAAAGGTGGCACTTGTCTCCAGGAAGCGGTAAAATATGGAAGCATTAATGTGGCCAAAACACTTTTGGAGCAGGGTGCTGATGTGAATGCCAAGTGTGAAAGTGGCATGACAGCTTTCCTGGTTGCGGCCGAGGCTGGAAACATTCAGATTTTGAAACTGTTGCAGCAAGCGGGGGCGGATGTCAATTTAGAGGATAACTTGGGTAACAATGCTCTGTTGAGGGCTTTGAGCTCTCCCGATACGATTCCTGATGTTGTTAGCGCTCTTGCTTTTAGCAAAGAACATTTGAACAAACAGAACAGCTCTGGATACACCCCTCTGATGATGGCCAGTGATAGTTGCAATGTGAAGATGATAGATGCACTGATAGACTTGGGTGCTGATGTGAACATATTAAGCAGAACAAGTAATGCCATGTGGGAAACCACCGCTTTGTCCGTCGTTCTAGAAAAATCGCCTGTCTATAAATCAAGTGACTTCATGTGCATAGAGTCGTTGGTGAAGCAGGGCGCTGTCGCAAGCTTGCCTTCCCGCTGCAGGGCCGTGCTTCACAAGATGATCATTTTAGACAACAGAAAGATAATTCAGCTGCTGGTCACACATGGGATGTCCCCATGTAATGTTGACCTTCGTCCCGTCTCTTACAAGCTGGGACCTCTGCTGCAGATGCAAATGGTGCGTTACAGTTTGTCGGATGCATCCCCCTTGAATGCCGCTCTTGCTTCTGGTAATGTCAAAGTCGCCAGATATTTTGCCGGTAATTGGTTCTTGTCACCATCAGACCTGGCAGGCTTTTCACATCGCAATAACTTGCGTGAATTCCTCATTGCCATGGATCTCAAGGAGTGTGTTGAATTTGTGGACGAGTTTACCTCCCAGCCAATGTCACTGCTCAAACTGAGTTTTGTAGCCGTCTCTGCAGCAGTCGGTCCACCCCCAGGAAGGGAGGCGAGAGTCAGGCAGTTGCCACTTCCAGCTGTGATGCAAGACAAGCTTCTTTTCAAGAATGAGGAAGTCCAACTTGATCTCCAGCCAGATGGGGTGTCCAACAGAATGGGCATGGCAAACTTGAGGATCAGTGACGACGATTCTGAATTTAATGACCATGGAGGTATTTTCCTGGATTACGACGACCCACTGAGATTTATGTATGATTCTGACACTTACATGGACTATGAAAGCAGTGTTGGCCTGTATGACAGTGATGACACATACATGTATTTGTAGGACATTTTGCTGCTGGAGCTGGTTATAGATGCTGCATTTGTCTATTCAGGGAAGTGGCTCTTTCACATTTTCTCTTAAAGTATATTTTATTTTTCTGATTGTAAGTTGTTGAGCGATCGACTTTTGTTGATTACATTGCAATGAAGATTACCCTTGCTCTGTGAATAAAGTGATTTTGTGTTAAATGTGTTTAAATGACACTAACAGGGTTGGAGAGTGTCAGATCATGCACAGTAAAATCCTTTCCAAAATAATTTTCTCAATGTTTCTTTTTCGCTATCATTTGCCACTGATGGGTTGGGAACCCTTGCCTTAGTGGATAAATAGGATTCTTTTTTTCTGATCGGCTGGATAACATTTATCCTTCAAATATAGTCCTCGTAAAGTGAAATAACTTGGCCTTAAAACACAGTACCTTTACATTCCATATGAATTTTAGAACCATTGCATGTTTTGATACATTTGTAATTCGCTCTCATTCTTTTTATATCAGGCTATGGTATCATGAAATTTTAATGTTTCATTAGAGTATTTGAAATAATGAACTTGAATATCTTCTGATTTGACCACAATGAATTCACTAATCATTTAAAAATGACATATATATTTTTGGTTAAATAATTGAACTTTGATTAAGTTTGTTGTTGGGTTTACAAAAAAAAAGTTTTCCTTTTGTAAAAGTGCATTAATTTTTTTCCTGTAGTTTTATTTTAAATAACGGTATAAAAATTGTGGAAGCTATTTTTCTTTGTAGGTACTTATACATGGTACCACTTTTCTTGAAATTCAGCAGAGGTGGCTTCATGGAATTATATTTTATCCCGGCCTTTAGAACTATTTCTTTAAAATATTTTCCGAGCTTCCAAGCAAACTACAAAAATTTGGATTAAATTTAAATTACTGTTTTATTTTGATTTCATCTGATTTATTGACCTGTTGAATGAATAAAGTCATGAAACCATCACTGATATTGGAGTTTATAACAAATAACTAGACTAATTGTGTTTATTTAATTCATAAAATTCAACTTGCCACTAAAGTTCAAAGGAGGACAGAAAATATCATCTTGTAAGCATTGACTTGTCATACATGAATCACTTCATAGTCCTGTTAATACATGTATCACTTCATAGTTCTGACTTGAAATACATGTATCACTTTACAGTTCTGACTTTTAATGCCGGTACATACATACCTTGTTTTAGCATAAAGCTTTACAATGTTTTGGTCTTTTTTTATTTTATTGGGGTACTTTTCCAGATGATTTTCTTTTTAATATTTTAAAAATCTAGTTGCAATAATTGTATGAACACTTGGTGAGATCAGTTGTGTGAACACTTGGTGAGATCATAGGCATAGGAAAAAAGATAGGATTTAGGAATGATGTTGATCAATTTAAACTTGTAATGTCTTATTTCCAATTTCTTTACTTGTTTTAAATATTAACCGATCATAACTATCTCGGTACTTCAGTTGCAGTTTTCACTTTCAAGAGTACCCGGTACCGGTAGGTTTAAGAAAAGAAGATATTTCTCATTGCCATATATTTGACCATCTGTTAGTTTGGTCCTCGTGTGACATCTCCAGATGAAGCAATTATTTATTATTAAACTCATCGTAAACTTTCAGAAACATTTTAAGCACCGGCAGTTAATTATCTAAATTACATGTACCGGTATCTTGAACTGTGGTGTGTTAAGACTTCATAACTGTGTACCCATGAGAGAACATAACTATCACTTCTTAAATCTACTTTCATAAATAATAAGTGTTAAATTTGTTGTTGTTCATTTTACTTTGGCTTTGTCTTGTAAGAACAGAATGAGTCAGCCTGGAACTACATTCACTAATCAAGTTTCATGATAAACATCATCATTGTTGTTAGATATTTTAACTTTTTGAAATTTTGAAAAGGAAATGCAGTTAGGAAATGGTGGGATGAAGAATCCTTCCATCCAAGTTATTTTTTTAAAACCCAAAACTGAGGACTAGATTTCTTAAAACTTATTTAACTATGAACTCATCACATAAATTTGTACCGTATTACACTAAATTTGTGTCCAGTTTTCAAATAATTGTGTATTGAATACTGTCCATTACAGCGAAGTTTGCTGCTGATATTAAAATTAAATGCATATAATTTGTGTTTCAATATTCCATTATAAAATAAAAATTGTGTGATCTATGTGACACCAAATCATCGGTTGTTTCATTAAGTTTTTTCCTCCTGTATTTGTAATTGTCCTGTTTTCTCTGAGCGGACGAAGTGGATCAAAGGAAGAATGTCAATATATTTTGTTTCTATTGGCGATTCTAGGTAAAGTACCCTCCCCTTATAACTTATAGGTCAATAAGATATCATATCTTCACATATTCATATAGTATTATAGTGTCCCAACTGCCTTATAACAGAATATTTTTTAAAAATAGACATGGAGGGGAGCAGTTAGGGTTGATGAAACCCGTAGTTGGCCAGCGGCCCCCCCCCCCCACACCCCCAACCTCTCTTAAAAGAAAAAAAAACTGCTGTTGGCTGACAATGCCATTTTTAAAAAAAGACAGGGGGGGGAGCAGTTAGGGTTGATGAAACCCGTGGTTGGCCCGCGGCCCCCCCCCCCCCACACCCCCAACCTCTCTTAAAAGAAAAAAAAACTGCTGTTGGCTGACAATGCCGAACCGCACTCAATAATATTTAAAAAAAATTGACCACAAGAACTGAACTCCCGCCACTGTATAGTGCTATTTGGACGGACAGCCTTCCATGCACTCACCTGTTTTAACAGCCTTCAATGCACCCGCCTGTTTTAACAGCCTTCAATGCACTCGCCTGTTTTAACAGCCTTCAATGCACTCGCCTGTTTTAATAGCCTTCAATGTACTCGCTTGTTTTAATAGCCTTCAATGCACTCGTCTGTTTTAACAGCCTTCAATACACTCGCCTGTTTTAATAGCCTTAAATGCACTCGCCTGTTTTAACAGCCTTTAATGCACTCGCCTGTTTTAATAGCCTTCAATGCACTCGCCTGTTTTAATAGCCTTCAATGCACTCGCCTGTTTTAATAGCCTTCAATGCACTCGTCTGTTTTAACAGCCTTCAATGCACTCGCCTGTTTTAATAGCCTTCAATGCACCCGCCTGTTTTAACAGCCTTCAATGCACTCGCCTGTTTTAACAGCCTTCAATGCACTCGCCTGTTTTAACAGCCTTCAATGCACTCACCTGTTTTAATAGCCTTAATTATAATACGTTACAATGTTATCCACGATTTGTTGCCTTAACTGATTTAATAAAAACGTCTAATGGTCCCATAGGAGGAACTAAAATTTACTATTTAAAAAAAAGTCTCCATGCAGTTAGAATAATTTTGTGGCCTGTTATAATGTTAAGAATAAAAGAATTACACTAAAAAGTGAATAATGGTGAAATATATACACGAAAGGTTAACTTTTGAAATAAGTTTCCAATGTCAATGTGGAAAAGTATATCAATTAATTAGTACCGGGTGTACAGTATATACTATACTATACACTTTACAACATCGACTCATCAAAGTCGCCCATTTAAAAATCGAATTTCCCTTTAAAAATACAGATCAGTTTCTTCCTCCTGGTTATCAAACTGCGCCCCTCCCCCCCCCCCCCCCTTTTTTTCCTCCCCGAATGGGAAACATTGCTTTAATAGTAGGTCTAATAATTGAGAAGCGCAGTTGCAAATGGTATTAAGTCTGTTTTTTGAAAAAAAATGAGTTAGTGCCCTTTTCTTAATCTATTGCCTAAAATACACATTTTGAATCTCTCGTCTTAACGTCCAGAAGGTTCGTAATGCCTTTATTTTAAATAGAAACTGTACAACCTTCAAAATGCTAGTTAAGTTGTAACACAAAATTCACTTTCCTGAAAAATGAGTTTGGTTGGACTTAGTACCTTTTGCAAGGGGGTTTCCTCAATTAATAGGAGAAACTTTAGAAAGCCTACAATCAGTCACTACTCGAATCTTGACTAAGACTACTATTGTAGTTGATTTTTAGTTGATAGGCCATGTGACGTGAATAGTGAAAGTAAAACAGGGGTAAACTCCGTGACTGTGGTGATATATTGTCTAATGTCTAATGATTAATTGATGCCAACAGAAATATTGCCGCTTAAATATTATCCCAGTTTAAAAAAAAAATATCTTTAAAAAACAACTGACAACAGTTTCTTGCTTAACAAATTTCTGCCCTCAAATACGGTAAGCTAAAGCCATTGCCATAATTATAACCCCTTTTTAAAAATGTATTATTATTTTTCTTTTTTTAAATGATAAAGGTAAACTACTCTAAACTTTGTTGACTCGTTGTCAAGGACAACACTATAACTATAGTAGTCCACAGCATGGCTGCAAGTCTTCGCGTGTATAGGTCTGCCATGAGCTTTTTGTTTCATAGAGGGCTCTTCGGATCGATCGACGTCATCGATTTACATTTATAGGCAGCTATCGACCACCAACGCGATCAGCAGACACATCTGATTGAGCATCCATTTTTTATTTTACCTTCAACTTCAAGATACTTCAGTAGACTACACACACAATTCACACATCGACACGTGATTCGATTGTGACATTGTCAGAACGAATAGTTCGAAATAGTGAATAGGAAAAAAGATTAATAAAGAATAGCAGAACCTGAAATTGGCACTGCTATTAACAGGACATATATTTTTACAGGTGCAAGGTAAGCTAATACTTAATACTATTACTACGCATTTTAAATGAAAACTCAATTTAAATTAATCAATACAATTTATATATTTTATATATAATATGGGCCTACTGTCAAGGTAAGGTTGAACACAGCCATCCCCCATTTAATAAGTTCTGTTAGTTAGTGTAGATTTTTTTTTTCTTTAAATCAACTTACCTCCAGAATAAAGAATAAAGCAATTAAACATAATGCTGGTAATAAGTACATAATTTGGGTTTGAAATTCAGTCACGTATGATAAGATATTAAATAGGCTTATAATTATAATAAAGAGGAATAGGACTAAAGACCACAATTGAGTATTGACCAACTCTTTTTAGGTCACACTCTTCTCTTCTTGAGCCTAAGTGACCAACAACACCAGACATGCAATAAGACTTTGTAATCAGGCCAAAAAAAACAACAAAAAAAAAAAAAAAAAAAAAAAAAAAAAAAAAAAAAAAAAATTAAAAAAAAAAAAAAAAAAAAAAAAAAAAAAAAAAAAAAAAAAAAAAACATGTATCCAAAATAGAATTTTTAGTATAATGAAATTCAATATTATTTCAACTTATAACGTAGTTTTAATTTGATAATTGATTTTGCAAATTGTTTACAAGTTTCAACATTTGTGTTTAATTTTTATTAATGCCAAACTCAACTCAGTATGCCATTTTCATTTGTTTTTTTCAAATGAAGAATCATTGAAATGCCACATTCACAGAGATGTGAAACTATTGGTGGAATGTCTTTAATATATTTTGCTTGTGATGTGACTGCTTCTAAGCTTAATGATTTATTTTTAAAAATATATTTTTTAGTAGATTGGAAGTTCACGCATTGCCATCGCCAATGTGTGGCAAGCTATAACTAATAAAAAAAATAATCAAAATATAATTCACAGTTTAAAGATGAGATTGCTTTTTAAATTCACTGTTTTAACAGGAGACCCTATAGAAAACCATTTATGACCCTTTATGGGGTCAAGATCCATGGGTTGGGAAACAGTGCCATGGAATAGGGGCCGTCCTTAAAGTACGTCACGCTATTTTTGACCATTTTTACCCCCCTGTCACAAATCTCGGAACCACCCCCCCCCCACCCACCCAAACAACCACCACCAC